CAGATATGTCGTGTTTCGGTGCTGAAGTCAATGTAGGCCTAATCATAAGAATGACTGGTAGCCCTTCACTGGGTTCAAGAACAGTAATGACATCTACATAAACCTTTACCTGATGACCAGGAGTGGAAATGGGCCAGAACACACCAGAACCCCATTTTGGGAGTAATAGTCGAGACAGAACAGCGTTCTGGCTCAGATCTCAAAAACCTAGATAACTATTTTTGACAGGGACACCACGTGTAATTGTTTTCTGTTCTGAAGTGTGTGTATGAACCGAAGTGTCCGTTGAACACACCTCAAGTTCAGACTAAAGCCCATTCTGCCAATGGCAAGCCATGGAGCTGTATCAGGCTCTGCCCACCCAGTCTCCATGGTAACAACTGTCAGTACACCATGTGTTGAGAGTGTAAAGGCAGCCAAGAAACTCCACGATGGGTAATAAAAGTGCGGTTTCGCTTTCTAATTTTCTTCAAAACTTGGTTCGGATATGCCGTCTACTCAGTGTAGCTAATATTGTTCAATGATTCATGTGTTATTGCTAAAGTATTCAGTCAGTGGGTTTTAAGTGTCCAGTGTAATTTAGCCTGTTAGTTAAGGCTACTCGAATATACGGTAGCGCAATGAATGATACCCAGCTAGCTAACCTGATAATGTCAGCCACTCATTATGAGCTAGGTACTAAAATATAAAGTTAAGTGACCCTTATTAGTCCCACAAAAGGGAAATTTCACCTCCGCATTTGTGCAGTGAAACACCACATACACACTGGTGACCACACTCACTAGGGGGCAGTGAGCCCTATCCGCAGCGCCCAAGGAGCAGTTGGGGGTTAGGTGCCTTGCTCAAGGGCACTTCAGGTACATCCTGTCAACTCAGGGGATCAAACCGGCAACCTTCCGGTTACAAGGCTGGTTCCCTAACCTCCAGCCCACAAGTGCCCCATCTGTTGGAAAAATAACTGGATACTTAACGTTTTCGACAGTCTAGGTCACATAATGAAAGAGGTAGTTTAGTATTTCTGATGTATTAAGGTTTTTTTGACAAACCTTTTGACGATTTGCTTTGTAGTCTCAGCCTTGTTGGAAAGCTTGTTTGGATTCCTGCGTTGTTGTTGGTTAACAGCAGTTTATAGAAAAGTGCAAATAGCTTTTTAGGAGGTGTTATTAGTTTAACTTTAGAAATTAGTGATGTTTCATTTAGAAAAACAGATTCTGTTCTTTTTTCTAGACTGTTCTTAATAAATGTTCTTGCTTTCTATAGAAATGGTCTCGTCTTTATTTAGAACGGTAATGTTAAATAGGTTTAAGGAGGTTTAGGTTATAAATAAAGTGGTGTTTATTTAAAGCATTAATGAGAATGAGGTCTGTAATGACAATGTCCATTATGAATAGAGACTTAGATGTACTTGCAACAATCAGTGAACATCTTTTAAAGAGTGTACACTCTTTAAAAGATGGTTCTTCAAAGTTCTTTAGTAAAAGGAAATGGTTCTATTTTGGACCATGAAATCTATATAGAACCATTTGCATGCTTAAATGGCTCTTTACACGGTCAATTAGTTCTTCAGATTGATGGAGAACGTGTTGTATCTGGTTCTATGATTGGGACTGTTAAATGACTTGTTTGATCATGTTTTTTTCCACAGGAATGAATAGGGTGTAAAAGTTTGTGCACCCAACTTTTTTCATGTTGATGCAAGTTCAATAGTAACACCCACCAGCAACCCCCTGGGCTACCATGGCAGCCGTGTAGCAACCACCTGGGATACCATAGCAACCGCATAGCAACACCCTAGCACCCACTCGGGCTACCATGACAGCCGCCTAGCAGCCACCTGGGATACCATAGCAACTGCATAGCAACACCCTATCAACCACTAGCTAGCTTAAACTGCACAATCACTGTATTTTCCTCAGGAAATGCCCATTTGTAATTTTTTGAACAGGGACTTCAACAGAGGCAACAAAATACACAGCCCTGCATTAACCCAACACAAAATAGGGAGAGGGTGGAATGGGAGGTAATGAAACATGAGGAGGGTAGACACTTCCAACACACCCTCCTCGGTCACACTTACAGTAATAACTACAAACAAAACAAACTACTTCACTGATGACAACAGCAAAGACATCAACAACAACTAATGTCTCTGTTTTGCACCAGGAGTGTGACACGTTCCAAGAGCCACTTTGCATGGCCGCACCCCCCAAAGCTCCCCACGGCAGCGTGGTCTGTGGCGGACACCACGATACGATGTTGTGTCTCCTTGCTAGCTGTGGTGTTCAAGGCTGTATCGCTAACAGTACTAATGTTCATGTGGGCTGAGTAGGAAAATGCTGCTGGATTTTATCTCCCTGTCTTTCTCCACCAAAAAGAAGCACAATGTGTGCTAGATTATTTAGTCTCTCTATTTAGCATGATGTGTGTGGTGGTTTTGAACCTAACACCGGCCATAAAGATCCACTCCGCTCCTTCTCCGCTGTGCAAAAGCTGCTACAGGCGGATTCCTTGCGGTTCAGACACAGATTTTTTGCGGAATACGCTCCGCTGTTTGAGTCCAAAGGCAGCGACAGGAGCGAGCCAGCGCATATTTCGGAAGGTGCAAATACGTCAGAAAAGAATTCCCATCCACAGCCTCACTTACAAGAACTATTAGACTTGGTGGGTTGAAAACTATTCCTGGTGTACGCTCTACAGAAAAACACGCTAAAGCTCATCATAAAATCAGTTATTTGTATGATTTTGCAGATGCAAGTAAGTCATAACAACATAAACCACTGTTTACACTTAATGTCATGCTTACATACATCTAATTAACACTCAGTAAAGAACAAAAAAAATAATCAGAAACGCTTTTTAAATAAAGACTTTTACTTTTTCACTTTAAGTACACTTAAAAAGATGGTTCAAGGTTTCTTTAGTAAAGACAGTGGTTCTATTGAGAACTATGAACACTCAAAGAACCATTTGCATGCTGAAATGGTTCTCTGCATGGTGAAATGGTTCTTCAGCTTGATGGAGAATGTGTTATGTTTATGGTTCTATATAGAAGCCTGACATTGTAACAATAGCAGAACCCTTTTTGGTGCTATCTAGAACCATTTTCAAAAAGGTTCCATATAGAACACATTCTCCATCAATCTGGAGAACGATTTCACCCTGCAAGGAACCCTTTAACCGTGCAAATGGTTCTGTGGTTATTCATGGTTCTATATAGGATCACTGTCTTTACTAAAAACCCTTAAAGAACCATCTTTTTTTAAGAGTTTATGCCTAAGAGCAGGTACACTCTTAAAAAAAGATTCGGTAACACTTTCTATTTTCTTTGTAAGCATCTATAAACACATTCATAACATGTTATAATGCATTCATAAGACATTATAAACATAGCTATAAATATTTATAAAAATGCATTATACATTATAGCCATGCTTATTATGCATTATGAATTGTTAACATAATACATTATAAGTACTGATCATAACAAATTATAAGAGCTCATAAGTCATATTTGTCCGCTCTAAGTAAAGTGAAGCGTACTGTACTAAAGCCTCCTCCAGTGTTCAGAGTGAGGCTTCAAGTTGAAGTATTTACTGAAGGATTTACTGAAACACTAAAACATTCACAATAAAGCAGATTACAGGCTTCAAATATCAGAGTTTAAACTAGAGCTGCCATCAGTGTTTTACCCAATGTGGGAAAGGTAATGTACACCACCGTTAGCTTGGTATTTGTCTTTACTTTACACTCTCCAAGCTGGGACTGACTTCTTTGGCACTGACATTATAACATGTTATTAACACTATTTATAATGCATTATATTAACAATTCATAATGTATAATAAACATGGCTATAAAGTTTAATTCAGTGTAATTCTTTTTAATACATATTTATAGCCACGTTTATAATGCCTTATGAATACATTATAACATGTTATAAATGTGTTTATAGATGCTTACAAATGCGACATTCATAAAAAAGTGTTACCAAAGATTCTTCAAGGGTTTTTTGGTAAAGACAGTGGTTCTATATAGAACCATGAGCACTCAACGAACGCTTTGCAGGGTTAAAGGGTACTTTGCATTGTGAAATTGTTCCTCAGATTGACGGAGAATGTGCTGTATATGGTTGCATGCAGAACCTTTTTGAAAAGGGTTCTATATGGCACCAGAAAGGGTTCTTCTATTGTTATCATATCTAGCTTGTAACCATAGAAGAACCCTTTTTGATGCTATATTATATATATTTCATGATGCCAAAAACCCTTTAATCATGCAAAGGGTTATTTGAGCTACTTGCTTTCAATCTCTACAACAACACAAAGCAAATTTAATTTGATCTGTTTTGGATAAAATCACAGCATGGCTGCTTACAGCTTGCTGTTGGGGTTGTGATGCTAGTAAAGCTGGAACTTCGCCTGCGTCTCTTCGGTCTCTTCGATCTCTTCAGTGTCAAGCGCTGAGTGAAGTTGCTCGGTATTGTCAGTTCGGTTCTTTGGGAAGGGAATGAAAAGGGACGACATCCCATTTACAGCCTGGAACAGTACAACTTCTACAAATAGTCTGCCATTTCCATTGCTGTTGCTCTGTTGTTGTTGTTTCCTGCTGGGCTAGAACCTGGACTAGTGTAAGTAAATTCTGGGGGCACAAATATTCAGGATTTTGGAATTGGCCGGTTTTACCGCCCTCTTTTCAAATGCGGGATTTGCATTTGAAGAAGACAGCAGTGTTTGAGGTTCACGGTTATGTCAGTTTCATGTACCGAACTCTCTTTCTTCAACTATGTCAATGCAAACACAGTTTTCCATTCTATGGCAACTTTAACAGATTCACTGTGAGACACCAGATCATTGATGTTGAGAGAAGGGACAGTACAGAGCTCTGAGGCATGCCTGTACTACGTGACAAACGCTGTGATGTTAAATTATTGATTTTAACAGACTGTTTCCCTGTATTATACTTAGGTACTTGTGTACTTCTGTCACCTCGCATATCTTCCAAAAGAAGACTGTGGTCGACCAAATAAACAAAGGACAGTATAACTTCTGATACTTGTCAAAAGAATCTGAAGTAGTTTGAGAAGAAATGGTGCTGTTGAGATATTTGCACATTTGAGGCATTTACAAAGTCACATCAGTTCACCCTGTGTCTGCTTAATGATCAACCCACAGGACACAATGATCAACGCAGGACAAATATAAAGGGCCTGTTGGTACAGAGGACTGAAAGAACTCTAGTAACAAAAATTGTGAACGAATGGCAAAGAATAAGGCAACCATGAAGCTGGCTCTGCTGATGATACTGGTGGTACTGACCAATGCAATCCTAGCAGCAGAGAATATGGGCACTGAGGAACCAGACCTGCCTCAAGTAGGGACTCGGTCAACCTTCGCAGCCCTGGACGATGTCCGTCTCATAGCGAACGGCCTCCTGCAGCTCGGCAAGAACCTGAGGGACTTCGTGCAGAAGACAAAAGGCCAGATCAACGACATCTTGCAAAAGCTCAACATATTCGACAAGTCCTTCTACCAGCTCTCTGTTCTGGCCAGCGAGATCAAAGAGGAAGAAGAGGAGCTAAAAAAGACCACGGTGGTGCTCAAAGCCAACAACGACGAGATAAAGAGTCTGTCGCTGGAGATAAACTCCAAAGTAGAGGAAATCATGACGGAGAGAATCCAGCTGCGGAAACAGGTCGGGGGGCTGGAGGAGAAGCTGAGTGGGCTTTCTCAAGGCCTGCTCTCAGCAGATCAGGTTGCAGAAATTTCTGCGTTGAAGGTAAGACGGGCAAACTTGTGAAGTTTCTCAGCCGCACAGGTCAAGTGCTAATGCTAAGCATCTGAGCCTGCCAGACAACTTTGTTGTATGTCATGTAACTACAGAAAAAGGCTAGAACCCCATTGATGTTCCTGCTTTAACTGCACACTTGGGGTGCTTTAGCACAGACGGCGCCTGACACAGCTGAAACTTAAATCCCGACAGTGGGCCGCTAATCAGTTCTTACCAAAACCACCCCGAGGCATATTTAGTTATGAATGAACTAATCAAAGAAGTAACATTTGGACTGTGCCTGAAATGTTTTGTAGTGTGGAATTATTAAACTTGCTGGACTTTTTTTATGAAAAGTGCAGAACCCCGGCCCTCTTAATGGTGCAGTATGTAAGATTTGGTGGCATCTAGTGTTAAGGTTGCAGACTGCAACCAACTGAATCCCCCTCCGTCACCCCTCCCTTTCCAAGTGTGTAGTAGAACCTACAGTGGTCATCAGGTTTTCGCTTCTTTCATGACGAGGATTCACCCTCCCTTGCTTTTACTACTAATTAATAATAATAATAATAATAATAATAATAATAATAAGTCTGATCCTCCATTTTTGTCTATATTTGGGTTCTCAAACTTCTCACAACACAAAATGGTCAGCCAGCACCGGCAATGACCACTGATTCTTCTCCCAACTGGAGCTACAGCGCACCAAATTCAAGCTGCTGCTTCAACGTAAAAATGCAAAAGGCATCTCTGGAGCCAGAGTTTGGTTTGTCCGTTCTGGGCTACTGTGGACACATGGTGGCGCAACATGGCGGCCTCTGCTGGAAGAGAAGCCTCTCCATATTTGGATATGAAGGCCTCATTCTAATCTAACGGAAACACAATGATTCACAGTTACACGGTTTTGTAAACTGTACTCCATTTCTGCTAATAGATCTCCCTAAATCGTACACACTGCACCATTAAAGTGCATTTGTTCTGGGTAAATAACCACTTACAGTTAATGCTTACAGCTAATTGCTAACCTTTGAAACACAATTTTAATGCTATTTGGTTACTAGTGTCCTCTTACCAAACTGTTATCTACTAACTGTACGTTCACATTAGAAGGTGACAGAGCGACAGGTAACCAGTCGTATCCTATAAGACTGTGATTTGTAGCTGTGATTTAGCAACAAGTGACACGGCGACAAGTCGAGATATTGAGACAAGTTGACTTTTCTCAATTTTTTTCAAATGAACTTTAAAGCCACAATTGACTGGCTCAAACAAACTCCTTAGACCAATAATAGACAAAGGGGGTCCGAGGTGTTTAGCCTCAGCTCTCTGAACTTTTCTGCCTATCACCGTTTGGTTCTTATTCCCAATAGTATCGTTCAAAAAAAAGGAAAAAAAATTATATACTTGTAAACTCATTACTGCGGTTCATACTTTAAACCAAACAGTGATACGTTTAGGGCAAATTAATTTTCATTTTCAGAAGCCAAAGTGTACATGCCCACACGCGACAAATAGCAGCCTCAAACACACCCACGAGAGACAAACGAGGTGACATTAGCAGCTTGTCGCCTACTAATAAGAACATACGGTAAGGCACTGACTCATAAAACAGAAGACAGCAAGGCAGCTGGCTTCAGCTATGGACACAGCCTTTGAATAATTTTAGAAAAGACAAAAGGACTCAGGTAAAACACGTACACTACCAGATTTGACAGCACACACCTGGCTGAACAGGCATTTTTCATAATGATAACATTTTGATCTAAAGCTTTATACCTAAAGCTGCACTACGTAAGATTCCCTGATCACCCTCTAAAGCCTGAAACTATGAAGAGGTGTCAGGTTGGGTGTTTTTTGGACCACATCGTTTGTCTTTACATATTAACGTCACATGCACAGGCTCAGATTTGTAGTGGTTTGTTTAATATCAGGTAAATATATGACCTTTTTGTAAGAACGAGAGCTATTTAAATGTAACATAGTTGACATTTTTCACCACATGGCATTTTACCTATCAGGCTAATGTAAATGTTGACATTAAACACCGATCAGGCACAACATTATGACCACCTCCTTGTTTCTACGCTCATTGTCCATTTTATCAGCTCCACTTACTATATAGGTGCACTTTGTAGTTCTACAGTTACAGACTGTAGTCCATCTGTTTCTCTGATACTTTGTTAGCCCCCTTTTACCCTGTTCTTCAGTGGTCAGGACCCCCATGGACCCTCACAGAGCAGGTACTATTTGGGTGGTTGATCATTCTCAGCACTGCAGTAACACTGACATGTGTAGTGTGTGTTGTGCTGGTCTGAGTGGATCAGACACAGCAGTGCTGCTGGAGTTTTTAAACACTGTGTCCACTCACTGTCCACTCTGTTAGACTCCTACCTTGTCAGTCCACCCCGTAGATGTAAGTGAAGAACACTTTCACAATGCAAAGAACCCTTTATGCAGATGGTTCTTGGAGTGTTCATAGTTCTATATAGAACCATTTACTTTACTAAAGAACCATAGCCCCTGAAGCCCCTGAAGAACCATATTTTTTAAGTGTGAATGGTGGTGATAGGAACCGGACGTCTGAAGCATTTAAAGCGCCCAAATCATGTAAAACAAATACACCGATCAGGCACAGCATTATGACCACCTCCTTGTTTCTATGCTCATTGTTTATTTTATCAGCTCCACTTACTATATAGGTGTGTGTGTTGTGCTGGTCTGAGTGGATCAGACACAGCAGTGCTGCTGGAGTTTTTAAACACTGTGTCCACTCACTGTCCACTCTATTAGACACTCCTACCTTGTCAGTCCACCTTGTAGATGTAAAGTCAGAGACAGTAGCTCATCTGCTGCTGCACAGTTTGTGTTGGTCATCGTCTAGTCCTTCATCAGTGGTCACAGGACGCTGTTGGCTGGATATTTTTGGTTGGTGGACTATTCTCAGTCCAGCAGTGACACTGAGGTGTTTAAAAACTCCAGCAGCACTGCTGTGTCTGATCCACTCGTACCAGCACAACACACAGTAACACACCACCACGTCAGTGTTACTGCAGTGCTGAGAATGATCCACCAATAGTACCTGCTCTGTGAGGGTCCATGGGGGTCCTGACCACTGAAGAACAGGGTAACAAAGTATGCAGAGAAACAGATGGACTACAGTCTGTAACTGTAGAACTACAAAGTCCACCTATATAGTAAGTGGAGCTGATAAAATGGACAACGAGCTTAGAAACAAGGAGGCGGTCATAATGTTATGTCTAATTGGTGTAATGTTCCCGTGTTCAATTGAAGCTAAAAAATAAAAAAATTAATGTTGATGGTTGATGAATATAGTCTTTGACTATGCAGTGTTATTCACACAATATTTATTAAAAAAAAAGAAGAAAGGAGATTAATAAAAAGTGCTCAAATATCTGACACTGAAGGAAATGACATCAACTGCCATTGGTCGCATGGTGTCACAACAAACCATTGCTTATGTTGACAGGCGTTTCCTGTTAGTAACTTTAAATGAACTTTAAATGAACTTCAGTGTGTTGCATTGTTTAAGGAAGCCCTATCTGCAAATGCATTTATTATTTTGAAACAAAATAATGCAACCATGAAAGCTTTTTATGTTTATTTTGAAATCTACACTTACTACTTGGAAATGTGGGTGTTAAAAAATGAATTCTTAAATGTTTTCATAGTTTCCAGCTAGATGTATATCGAGGCAGGTGTATTATAACATATAGTTTTTATAAAATAGGAGAGCAGGAGAGTGAATGCCAAGAGCTGGATCATTACCAAATTTTAAAGTTTGAATTTCAGTTCATTGTTTTGATGTCTTCTAAAATGTGTGAAATGGTTCAAATAAGAAAAACCCTTTTTGAATAAATATGGCAAACACCTTAAATTTTTTGATCAGGAGGTGATCCAAGCCCAAGAGAGGAGTATCTCAGAGCTGCTGAAGGCGGTGAAGGAACAAAGTGAGCATCTCAACTACCAGAAAAACAAGATCAAGGGTTTGGAGAATAAGGTAGAATTTTTTGGTTGGATTTCAAATGTATTAAACAGACCTCTTGTAGGTGTAATCTGCCCATCCAAAAATGACTGTAAAAAAAATATATATATATATATATATATATGATGTATTCAAACTTGCATGATTGAAGCATAAAATATGTAAAACTGTGTCACATTTTAGCTCAACTCTGCCAGTCTTCAAGAAACTACCTCTAAATTTCGATGGGACGCCCAAACCTACGGCATGTCAGAATATCTGTCCAACTATTCCACTGATGGAAGCTTCTCGAGTGGTGAGGACACCAATGATGTTCTTCTTTGAACTATGTTATAAGAATGGCATTGTGAAAAGTCACCATTTTTTCATGTACCCCAGATGTTGTCGGCCAGCTGAGACACGTTTGATGTACAGATTTTGCTTCTTTAGTTTAAAACTGGTGCTATGAACCAAATGTAGTTGACAAACACTAGAAGTCAATAGTCACCCAAATCTTATATAAATATAACTTATATAAAACTTCTGTCAACCTGCATCCAGGTCTTCAATGTCACGTAGACTTGTCGATGTGAATTTTAGACAAGTGTTGAATTCCGATTGGTGCATGTGCTTCACATACTGTTAAAAATGAGAGGTCAGCTCAACTCAAAATGATAGAGTAACTGATTACATGACTTTTCTTGAGTTGACTCAACTTGAGGACACAAGAGTTCACAACTCAAACTTCTTAACTGGGTCAAAGTTCTCCTAATATTTTAGTTCTGCATCTCAGTAAGGTAAATAAAATCCACAGCACCACTCCAGAACACATGAAGCAGCTCAGATTTTGTGTCTACAAATGTTTTATACACTGGAGAAAATATTTGTTGTTTTAACTTTCGAAGCATAGCATCGTCTCATGTGGTGCAACTGTCTAATAATTCATCCCAACATCAGGAGATTGTGAGTTTGAATCCCAGCGATACCACAGCTGTCCATGTCCGGAAGCCCAAGAGGAAAAAATGCCAGATGGGACTGTGTTATAGAAGGACTGCCAGCTAGTGGGGAAACTGAGTAAAAACACAAATCCAGTTTTGTTTATCTAACTGAGATGCAGACCTAGAAACAGTATCTGGGAGAATTTTTGACTCAACTAAGAAGTTTGAGTTGGGTGAACTCTGGTGTCCTCAAGTTGAGTCAACTCAAGAAAAGCCATGCAATCAGTTACTATATCATCTTATGTGTTTATAAATACAAACAACAGAAAGTTTGAGCGTAATCTAGCATCTAAATGCTTGAGTGATGCATGCGAATGTGAGTTAGATTCTATGGTGGAGTCAGAATTCGACACCTGTTGTCTACAATGTTCTGCCTGCTGTGTTACAGCTTACAGTAAGTCAACCTGCACTCTAAACCACACCTAAACCACATGGTTTGAGCAGGTTGAGAGATTTGGGTGACTATTGACTTCTAGTGTTAGCTACATTAGCCTCGTAGCTTCAGCGCTAAACTAAAGAAGCAAGATTTGGACACAAATCTTGCCTCGGCTGGCCAACATCTGGGGTGGGTGAAAAATTGCGTAAAAAGTCTTTTGGACTGCAGATCTCTGACAGTGGTGCTATTGCAGATTTCCCAAGGGACTGTGGCGAGGTCTTCAGCATGGGAGAGAACACTAGCGGCCTGTATGCCATCAAGCCAAACCAGTCAGAGCCGTTTCTTGTGTACTGCGAATTCACACAAGGTTAGAACACACATTTACTATTCCAAACATGGAGTGACTCTCTCAATTGGTTGTATGCAGACAACCTCCTAACGTCACCTCTGCTCTCCATAGAGGGGGCGTTCACCGTCATTCAACGCAGACACGACGGCTCTGTCAATTTCAACCTGTCCTGGCAAAGCTATGAGGATGGATTTGGAGACTTCAAGAGTGAGTAGCACATATGGAATGCTGGTTCTCCTGCAGATAAGAATGCAGGAATGAGATTTCCGCTCGACATCACTGTGCTGACACAAGCAGCCAGGAGCACAGTGGAGAATTCTGACTTGACATTTCTGACAGCTAAAATTTCAGCACCTTTTGACTGTCACAGCCTTTTTCAGGCCTTTATCAGCCTCTAGTGTATCCCAGAATTTCACCCCAAACTAAGCATGATGTGGAGACTTGACCGAGTTACATCAGTTGTTTACAGTTGTTTAGTGTTTCTTGTATATAGTAGGAGGATGTCACTGATCTCCAGTCTCCTAAGCTGGGAACCCTCAAGGCCTTCAAGACCCTCACAGAAGACCTGATTGTTTACGAGAACTAATATCTGTAATATTAGTTCATTTTTAATCAACTGAGTGTACATATCTGATGTAATTAAACTCTGCAAGCATTGTGTGTTTTATTGGTTTATTCATTATTTAAGTTTTGATTGGAAACAAAAAGCTTTAAACTATCAAAACGTCCATCCAAAGTATCCAATCAAGATTTTTTTCTATGTGCTATCAATGTAGACTGATTGGAACTTACATGTTAGATTAACCACAAACGTAATTAGGAAGTGATAGCAGAACCATTTTTTTTCAGAAATAATGTCACTCTAGGCCTTCTAGAAGTGTCACTGACAGCAAATACAAGTGGTTGAAACATATAAAACACAAAAGTTTCAAATCTCTGTGTTTAATTTTTTGTGCACCACTGTTAGCTTAGCACTAACATACTATTAAAATCCCATAGGGGTGCTAGCAGGAATTGTTATTAATTATTTTTCCCCTTATATTTTGACCAAGTTTTGACATTTACAGCCCAAACTGAAGACTTAACTGTAACAGTCATGGTTTGCCACTTAATCTCCTACTGACAGTAACAGTAGTGTAATGCTTTAGTGCTAAAGAGAGCCGGATATCTCTGCTTGCTTTCTAGAGATCAAGACCTGTTAATTGTGTTCATTTGTAGGTGAGTTCTGGCTTGGCCTGAAGAAGATCTTCTCCATCGCCAGGCAGGGTGAGTCTCTCCTGCGCCTTCAAATGGAGGACTGGAAACAAGAGAAACATTCCACAGAGTTCCAGTACAACCTGGAGGGCCCTGATTCCAACTACACCATCCACCTCAAGCTAGTGGGCCCGACCCCTGATACAGACTTCCAGGCAGTGAGATTCTCCACCCAAGACCACAATGATGGGTACCATGACGAAAGCTGTGCCCATGACTACACAGGTACTGCTGCGTTTACATTATGTGTAGTATTATCTAGCAGTTAATAAATAGTCTTGTTGTCATGGAGCCTTCAAATGTTCACTGAATAACCACACCCACTTACCCAGCCTTCATACTCACACTGAATAACCACGCCCACTCACCCAGACTTCATACTCTCACTGAATAACCACGCCCACTCACCCAGCCTTCATACTCTCACTGAATAACCACGCCCACTCACCCAGCCTTCATACTCTCACTGAATAACCATGCCCACTCACCCAGACTTCATACTCTCACTGAATAACCACGCCCACTCACCCAGCCTTCATACTTTCACTGAATAACCACGCCCACTCACCCAGCCTTCATACTCTCACTGAATAACCACGCCCACTCAGCCACCCCTCATACTCCCACTGAATAACCACGCCCGCTCACCCAGCCTTCATACTCTCAATGAATAACCACGCCCACTCAGCCACCCCTCAGACTCCCACTGAATAACCACGCCCACTCACCCAGCCTTCATACTCACACTGAATAACCACGCCCACTCACCCAGCCTTCATACTCTCACTGAATAACCACGCCCACTCACCCAGCCTTCATACTCTCACTGAATAACCACGCCCACTCAGCCAGCCTTCATACTCACACTGAATAACCACGCCCACTCACCCAGCCTTCATATGTTCACTGAATAACCACACCCACTCACCCAGCCTTCATATGTTCACTGAATAACCACGCCCACTCAGCCAGCCTTCATACTTCCACCACTACAGCTAAGCTAACGCTATTAGGCTTTAATAATATTCAGAGACAGCTTTTGAGTTTAAATCTTGGCTGAAGGAAACATGTGAGCTTCACTATACAAAGTACGCAATATGTTATTTGTCCTTTTTACATGCATCAACTGTCTGTGTTTAAGCTAGAGAGCTGCAATTAAATGTAAATATATGCCAAGCTAGCTTGGTGCTATCATAACATTGGAATTCCCATTAGGGTGCTAATGAAAGTTGGCATTATCTTAGCAGTGGCAAATGGGAAAAAATGACCTTTTGTGAAACACATCATACACAGACTGAATTAAGGTGGTATTTGTTTTTATACTTTCAAAGAGCACAGAGACACATATTTAAACATAACAAAGTAACATATACTCTTTGAAGAATATCAGCTCCCGGAAATAGCTTCCTTAATCTGGCTGTTAAGGACGACTTCTGAAAAGTCTGTATTACAAAATTTCAAAAATTTGATTTGCATTCTCTCAGTAACATTAATCATTATTATAATACTGTAATAATGCCTACCGCTTACAGTATCTTCTCTGGCTCTTTTTAAGGAGGATGGTGGTTCAGAGCTTGTGGCGACATCAACCCGAATGGTAGATGCATCCAGAGCAGACCTCGCAGGAAGGGAATCCAGTGGAAGCATAATAAAGGACAAGGCCACTTAAAATCCTCACAGATCTCCATTCATCATGCTAAAAAAACTTAGCCTGCACATCTGCAGTACGAAAGACACTAGTATGACACCAATGATGTCATCATTGCTCTCTGACTTTTTGTATTGTATATTAATTAGCTGCACTATAACAGTTATGAAATATATAGGCATGACAGCCCCTTGCCTGGTGATAGGCTAACACGTGCCCCATTAGTCTTAGGTAGATAAAACAAATAAAAGATAAAAGAAAAAAAGAAAAGTTTTGATAAATTTTATTTATATTTTTGTTTTTGCTGACCAAACGGTCAACCGTGCCTTCCTAAAGCAGGCAGCTCCAATCAGGATAGAGACTTATCACAGAATTTTTATATATAACTTTAAGTTGGGTGGTAAATTGACTGTTTTGTAAACAGTGGAGTCAAAACATCTGCTTCCATTAATGTGGACTTAATTTAGTGGACAATCACAGAGCACTGAGTTTCCTCATGCAGCAGTATTATTATTAACAGCTGTTATTATTTTTACACAACTTCTAATAAAGGCTTCCTTACCTTACAGAGACTGTGTACCTATTGTTTTTAAATCATGATGTAGCAAAAAGATGGGCTTAGTGGACCAAGTAAGTCATGCAAGGCTGGTCTGGTCACTCGTTTGTATGTCCAACTAAGCAAATCTTTTGTCTGATATAGACAATGTAGAGTCTGTTGCTGTGGTTTGTTGACTTTAAAGGCTGTATAATATGCTTTTGCTCATTCTTACGTCATGACTATGACATTATTATCTTGTCCCCACTCTTTACTAAGTAATGACTATGACTTAATTATCCTGCTCCCACACTATACTAAGTAATGGCTATAACTTAATTATCTTGTTCTCACCCTTTACTAATTAATGGCTATAACTTAATTATCTTGTTCCCACACTTTACTGAGTAATGGCTATGACTTAATTATCCTGTTCGCTGACTTTGCTAAGGAATGGCTATGGCATAATTATCTTGTTTCCACACTTCACTAACTAATGTCTATGACTAATTATCCTGTTCCCACACTTTACTGAGTAATGGCTATGGCTTAATTATCTTGTTCCCACACTTTGCTAAGTAATAACTATGGCTTAATTATCTTGTTCCCACACTCTACTACGTAATGGCTGTAGCTTAATTATCTTGTTCCCACAGTTTGCTAAATAATGGCTGTGGCTTAATTATCTTGTTCCCACACTTTACTAATTAATGTCTATGACTTAATTATCTTGTTTACACACATTTATCTAACTAATGGCTATGGCTTAATTATCTTGTTTCAACACTTTAGTAATTAATGGCTATGACTTAATTATCTTATTCCCACGCTTTACTATGTAATGGCTATGGCTTAGTTATCTTGTTCCCACACTTTAGTAATTAATGGCTATGAATTAATTATCTTATTCCCACACTTTACTATGTAATGGCTATGGCTTAGTTATCTTGTTCCCACACTTTAGTAATTAATGGCTATGACTTAATTATCTTATTCCCACACTTTATTAATTAATGGCTATGACTTAATTATCTTATTCCCACACTTTACTGATTAATGGCTGTGGCTTAATTATCTTGTTTACACACATTTATCTGACTAATGGCTATGGCTTAATTATCTTCTTCCCACACTTTAGTAATTAATGGTTATGGCTTAATTATCTTGTTCCCACAGTTTGCTAAGTAATGGCGATGGCTTAATTATCATGTTCACACACAACTAAGTTGTGACTGACATAATTATCTTGTTCCCTTAGAAAGTGCAGGACCGCTTTCTAAGGCTTGAGAACAAGATAATTATGTCATTTTATCAATTATGAGTTAATTATTTCGTTTCCATGCCTTTCTATGGCATGGTCTGATTTAATTATCTAATTCCCACACCTTATTAAGTCCTAGCTATGACTTTATTAACTCATACTCTGATCTTTCTAGGTCATGGCTGTGCTATATTGTTGTAAAATAAGGATGTCACCAGCAGGCCTCAGTAAGAGTCACATAAAACTACACATAAACTAATCTGAACTGGCAGTAATTACAGGTTATATAAAAAGAAAGTGTATATGATTTACTGGCCATATCAAGCGAAAAGCCTTAAGCCTGTTACTTAATGTATGATTACACAGGATCTACTGCCAAAAATGTGAGTAATCATAAAATAGTCACAGTTAATAAGTATTTTTAAAAAAAATCTCCTAGTATTAGTTGTAGCCAAATGTCATTGGCTATCTCTGTCTTCGTTACTGCACAACATTTACTGACCTGGGGTAGCGAGGGCTAACACGTGCTTTCCGAGTGACCTGCACAGCCAAGCACTGTGGCACAGCATTCTAAATCTAGCTCACAAAAAAAAAAAACCCATACAGCATGGCTTTGGCTCAGTGTCCATCACTGATCTTGTCTGAATCATCTGATCTAACCTAAAGTCAGACACCCTGAGCACCTCCATACTGCAGTGAGGGAGATCAGAAGAACGGAGAAAACATCAGTGTTTCTACTCTGATCTAAAAGCATCAGCTGCTTTGAAGACTGAACAGAAAACCAGTCATGCTGCTGGTGCTCACTTTGGTTTGTTTACAGTCATTCTACTGCCACTTTGTGGTCAAAGACAAAATTTCATCAACACTGTTCCTCTGTTTTATAAGACGTGACAGGTTGACAGAACTTCAATAACTTGCTGCTGGAAAGATGACAGTTTTTCTATTTTTCTAATAATGGGTTTTGAGATGTTAGCAGGGAAAGCTGGTCCTGTACAGAGCAGCAGAGATTTTGGACAGGTAACTTTCACTAAATAGATCACTACTGTAGCCATGTTTACAGGGTTATAATACAGGGTGATTCAAAAAGCTTCATCCGATTTCAAAATGATTTATTTCACTTGTAAATCATTACAGAACAATGCAGTGAACTGTAAATGGTTTAAATGAGCATAAAGTTTATCCTGTAATTGTACAAGGTCTCAGTATGAACCTCCTCCAGCTGTACAGACAACATCAACACCATAGTCAAACTCATCCCATACTCGATTGAGCATGTCGGGTGTCGCTGCACTCACGGCTCTTTCAGTGCGATTTCGGAGATCATCCAGTGTTGTGGAACCAACGACGAACGCTCTGAGCTGTTGGAGCTTCACTGCCAATGAAAATCACGCTGCACAGTTATGACTGATTCACTCTTATTGAAGTGGAGAACGCAGAACGCTTTCTGCTCAGGGGTCTCATCGTCTCTCAGACTGAAGGAAGCCATCTTCCACTGACAGTCAGAAACTCTATGACCCCCTCTTTCAGTTAGATTGTGATTGGTTCCTAGGCGCCTCACGGTTGTAAAAATATGGCGCTTTGAAATCAGGTGAATCTTTTTGAATCACCCTGTATTGTTTCTGAGGTTGCAAAATGATACTTTGACAATAATTCCTCAAACATTCTGAAAATACAACAGCCACCAATATACCAAGTTTCATATTATATGTGTTATTTTACTGTATCAGTATAACAATAAAACATTTTCACACTTTTTCATCTATTTTCTACATTTCTGAGTAATTCAGTCCTTGAGAAATAAACAGAGTCATTCTGAGTGGTTTGGTGTGAGACTCAGGTTTCTTTACAGTGGTGTTGATAGGAACCAGGGGTCACTACAACACTAATATAGCCATTTTATGTACTATCCAAAAAACCACCAGTGAACCTACACGTGTCTTCTGAGTTTTTATATGGAATATTGATGATGGTAAAATAATAATAAATCTGAAAGCATACGTTTTTTGGGGGGACTAATTGGCCTTACAACACCCTGCACGTATCCCTCCACCATGAATGGATTTTAAGGCCAGACGCTACAGACAGAAATGATGATTGTGGTCCCATCAAAACGTTCCTGTTTTGAAAGAGTAGTACTGGCCGCCTGTACCTTTCAGGATAAATTTTAAAATCTGCTACTAGATCAGTTACTCTGCTTCTAAACTGTGGAACTCAATTCAACTTTTATTAGGTAGTCCAGCTCAGTGCACACGTTTAATAAACACTTAAAAACACAGCTATGCAGCATTCAGTTAAAACTCTACAGCCCAATCCCTACCATTTAGCCCTTAGCCCTCCAGTTTGCACGTTCACGTCTACGGGTTAGGGTGTCCCGATTGTGGTTGTGATAGAGGGGTAGGACGAAGTGTTGGGGCGACATGGTCCTCTAAACAGAGGTTTTTCAGAGACTCCAAACAGAGAGTTATGAGAAAAAAAGAAAAAACGGCAAGTTGGCTGAACAAGAGACCAAAGAAACACACAGATGTGAGAATTTTCTCTGTTAAAAAATTACGATAACCACTGTTTTATCTTAGTTTAATGTCATTTCAATGTATTATGGTCCTTTTCTTCATAACAAGCATAAAAAATCACTAGTAGTAGCTGATGTCTTGGTAGCTAGCTAAATTTCCCGTTCCACCTTAAATAGTCCAGGAGTTCTGATGCCTGAAACGCTAGAATGTAACTGCTGCACCATTTAAGGTGGAATGGGCAAATTCAGACAAGAAGCTGGTGAATATCTGACTTCAGCTTCATATCACTGAAGAATTAGGGGTGGGTGATAATAAATAATTGCCCCCCCCTTTAAAGGCATATGATGCCCTAAATGTAACTAAAGCCCAGCAGTGAGGAGCTGAACTTTAGCCCCCCCTCATCACTGCAGACTGGCCGGGTCGCCTACAGAGCAGCGCTAGTAGCTGTTAATGAAGTAATGCTCTTTTTATTTGAGGGTCCCATTTCAGAGGGAAGATTTCAACCACTACCCCTTGTAACTCAGTTCCAAGGGGCAAGATGACACTCGAAAACAAGGGGTAAGGGTAAAAATAAGAAATGGGACTGGGCCAAAGTATCATGGTATTTATCTTCATTAAAATTTGATCTGTCCTCGTCTTATTTTAGATTAATACTCATAGTTTCTTCTATTCCTGTTAAGCTTCATCACCTGTCTGTAAAGCAGCCTGAGCAGCCACTGATATGAAAAGTGTTCTATAAATATAGATGGTTTCATTACTATTATTATAGATTTTTAAGATTTTTGGATGAGTTGTATCTGTATCTTCTCTTAAACTGTAATTGTAAAAATAACTAAACAGAAATATATTTACTACATTTAAATATATTCAGTATGTTTACTGTGTTTACTTCACATCTAACTCTATTTCAGAAAAGTTAGCAAAGTTAACAAAGGCTTAGCTCTGCCCACACTTGGCTTGACCACACTGGGTCATATGTCACTGAAAAGCTTGTTTCCTGTAGAATTTAAACAGAATATCCAAATGCATTTGTGCTGATGAGAACACAAATGGTGCATGTTCTCTGAGGTCTCACTGGGTTATGCAGTTCCAAGGCCCATTCTTGAGTTTTCCTCAAAATCAGTTTTTCTCCATATTCAAAATCAAACATCTCAGCTTCTACAAAACCTGCATTCATGGATTTTTATATGTTCATTTTAATCTGTTGTGTAAAACCTTACTTGTTTTTAGTAGGTCTCATGTATATATATATATATATATATATATATATATATATATATATATATATATATATATATTAGCATAATATAATTTTACCGATAGTATTTTTAAATAACATAAAATAATTAAATAATTGAATAATAATAGTATTTTTTAATTATTATCTGCCAATATAGTAAGATAATTTGACTTACTAAAATCACTAAAAACAAGTAAAAATGTCTGTAAATAAATGTTAAAATCTTATAATAAGCTTACAACAATATCAAAACAAGATATTCTAGATATATTGACTACATTTAAGATCACTTCATTTGCTATCATTTACTGTGTGTTTTTTTTAAAATATGTTAATGTATGCATATGTTAAGTAAATAACATATCATTTGAACATCTAAACGCATTTTTAGTTTTTTTGCAAAACTTCCACTACAAAAAAAGTTTCAAAAATGACTCTATTTTATGCCAAAACCTAATCATAAAACTAGAATAAATCAATGTCTCAATCTTCAGGCAGCATATTAATATCTATTTCATGTAGTAACTTTCTGTGAGGGAGCTTTTAGAGGTGGACGTCTGGTTCCTATCACAACCACTGTAAACAGTTCTGACAGTTTAAAAACGGTGCATTTCACATGAAACGCCTCTCAATGACTTTGTTTACATATTAAACATTTAATTATGGGGCATAAATGGCCCTGTTTAATTTTACTGGAGGCACAAGAACCACCTAAATGGCAGAAATGTTATTCTGGCAAGTGAAATTGTTTAAAATCTAGTCAAAATATCTAGTATTTCTCATTTTAAGACTGTTTTTAAGCTTACTATATGATTATTTAACTCATTTATAGATACTTTTTACTGGTTTTAAGTGATTTTAATCTGAAATAATCTTATAATAAGTTTAAAACAGTCTCAAAATGAGCAATATTAGATATATTGACTAGATTTAAGATGATTTCACTTGCGAAAATATCATTTTTTGCAGTGTACCTGATAAAGCCCAAATAAGGTACTTCAGAAATCCTTCCTTGACCCATGTGAGAACTTGTAAACATTATGAAACTCTAGGTTCGCATAGAATAAGAGCCATCAGTATGTGACGCTCATGTGCTTATATATTAAAACCACTCCAGATGCTGCATGTACATGTCATGACAGCTCAAGATACGCCTCAAGATGCCACGATTACTCATCAGCTTATTAGCTCAACACCGGCTCAGTTTAGAACGCAAGCTAACATGGTATCTCTTCAGCCTTCGGATCATCTTAGGCATCCTCCTCAATGGGTCACTGGTGAGCAGGAAGTCTGACAGTGATGCCCCTGCACATGTGCGAGGAGGAGCCCGTCTTCAGTTACTGTCCTCCCTCGCCTCTTTATTTTTGGATCCTTAACGGCCTCGCTGCCAGCCTGTGGAATGCTCCGGGCTGCCATAAGGCTTCCCTCCTCTCCTCTTGCCTGCCCATTCCCAGTGCCCCGCGAAGGGGAGCGCGCAGTGGCAGGTTACCTCTCTGAGCTTCTTCTCTCCTTCCACAATGGATGAGAGTCCCCTGCAGGTGCTGACCATTCCCACCACCCCATATCCCGACCAGAGGCCTGGCACCAGCGGCCTGAGGAAGAAGGTCTTCGTCTTCCAGTCCAAACGGAACTATCTGCACAACTTCATTCAGAGTGTCTTCTCCTCCATCGACCTGCGAGACCGCCAAGGGTCAACAATGGTGGTGGGAGGAGATGGGCGTTACTTCAACACGACCGCCATCCAGGTCATCGTGCAAATGGCTGCAGCCAATGGGGTCAGTTGCTGGATTTGAGTGATTTTTGTTTGTGGTTGGAGTCGGTCAGCAGGGTATCGATTACGCTAAATGTCAACCTGTCAGTCTGTTTGCAGTTCTTGTCCGTGTTATGTTAAGGCCAGCTTTCTACCACCTATCAGATTCACTTTCTCTGGATGTCTGTGATGACAACTGTCCCTTAATTTAACCTAAATCTTCACAGAACATAGAAAAACTGCACCTGACATTTACACCAACATGCAATTTCAAATGATCAGTGAGAGCCAGGTGCATGATAGCTTTAAATAGATGCAATTATGTAAACCTGCTTTGTTGTTGTCACCTATCCAATCCTAAATCAGGCACAAAGATATTTATTCGACACCCCTGCTGGGGTAGAGGATATATATAGGGCAGATTTTAAGTAAATTACACACGATGACACCTGTAACTATAAATGATCTTCTAATTTTGCCAGCACAGGTTGAGAAGCTATGTTGGAAAAGTGGGTGTAACTGCTATAGTCGGTTTGATGACACAAAAAATTTTTACTGCCCACTATAACTGACCTGTTGGTGTATAAATATGGCTGTTTTTTTAGGCTAAAGATCATAGCTTCATTTCTTGGTGTGTTTTTCTGGTCAGTGTGAACAATTTTGGTAAACAAATTTGGTATCCTGGTTTGTTATTTTGGGCCAAATGATGCCTTCATGTTTATAAGGGGTAGTACCTACAGTTTTGCATAGTCAGAGACTATTCCTTCATTAAATTTCCAGTCGAAATAGCCATAAAAGAGGCCATCAGGAGATATGTCTGAGAGAATTAGATATAAGACTATTCACTTGCACCATACATTTGGTAGACACCAAAACTGCCCCATCAGATAAACAGCACTTAAAGCTTTCATCTCTGAGAGAGAGGAGAAAATCAAGCTGCTTCAGATCTGAAAACATCCACAGGTGTTTCTGTCCATCCTTCCACTGTGAGAAGACGACTCAGCGCTATGGGTCTGAAAGGATGTGTAGCTGTTCAAGAAGAACCTCACTGAGAAAAGGAGACGGACACATCAAACAAAGAAGCTGAACAATGGACTGACCACCCCAGAGTCCAGACTTCAACATCACTGAATGTGTTTGATTACTTCAGAAAATGATCAACCAGCTTCTAAGACTGAACTTTGGAGGTGTGTCTGCAGATTCTTTGAGGAACTGAAAGTGAGTCTCCTGAAAAGAATGGAAGCTGGAATAAAGGTCAAGAGTGGACACAGTAAATACTGAAAAAATGAAATCATATTTAGTTGTTGAGGCTTCTGTTAAATGTGTTTTTAAATATGTCTTTTTCAGGCATTGACACATGAAAAATGTGTAATTAACAGACATTTTTCACTGGAAGTTGAATGACGAGGATAAAAATAAGGATGGTCTCTGGCACTTCACAGTACTGTATTAAGGATTGTTCTGGCTGATGGACAATCTGTATCACACTGTCTGGTCTAAGTGAACACATGAAATGTTCTATGAGCCAAAGTCTCAATACAAATAACAATGTTAGCAATCTTTGACAGGCCAAAACAGATACTTTTAATTAAAGTAAGTAAAATTAAATCAAATAAAGTGAGAGGCAACTGGATGAGAAGCACAGTGAGACGACAGTTTGGCATATTTGTTGCAGCAACATTCAAACGGAGCACGAGTGCACTTACCTGCCTCAGACTGCATCACAAAATTGCAACACAGATCAGCCAAAACAAAATAATAAACTGCCTGAGCAAAAATCATCCAGTTGTGATCTTTTATCGTTTATCAGTTTGCTCTGAAGCTCACCTGTGTCGCCATGCTCACTTGTCTCAGGTAGGCCGTCTGGTGATCGGTCAGAATGGCATCATGTCCACACCAGCTGTGTCATGCGTGATCAGGAAGTTCAAAGCAATTGGTGGAATTCTGCTCACCGCCAGTCACAACCCTGGAGGACCAGATGGAGACTTTGGCATCAAGTTCAATATTGCTAATGGAGGTAAAAAAAAAAGCTTTGCCCTTGTTTACTGTTCAAATCTACACTGCAAAAAAGTGAAAACATTAAATATAGTAAATATATCTACAATTTCTTATTGTTTAAATAATTGCAAAATATTATAAGATGCTTCAGCTTCATTTTTTGCAGGTTTTAAGTAATTTAATCTACATTATCTTATTCTACTTGCAGATAACTTTGCTTATTTCAAGAAAAAAATGCTTGAAACATAAAAAAGAAAAGATCAATGGCAATATAATGTGGCACTCTCTATATTAAATATTAAATACTGAAAACAAAACAAGGTGTCTAGGATTAAATAAGCGACTAATATTCTTATGACAACCTCAAACAGAAATATTAGATATATTGTCTAGATTTAAGGTGATTTCACTCAGCAAGACATTGTACTTTGCAGTGTATTACTGACTAGCATCTTCACACAAAGAGAGCAGGTACTATTTGGGTGGTGGATCATTCTCAGCACTGCAGTAACACTGACGTGGTGGTGGTGTGTTAGTGTGTGTTGCGCTGGTGCGAGTGGATCAGACACAGCAGTGCTGCTGGAGTTTTTAAACACTGTGTCCACTCACTGTCCACTCTATTAGACACTCCTACCTTGTCAGTCCACCTTGTAGATGTAAAGTCAGAGACGATAGCTCATCTGCTGCTGCACAGTTTGTGTTGGTCATCCTCTAGTCCTTCATCAGTGGTCACAGGACGCTGTTGGCTGGATATTTTTGGTTGGTGGACTATTCTCAGTCCAGCAGTAACACTGAGGTGTTTAAGAACTCCAGCAGCACTGCTGTGTCTGATCCACTCAGACCAGCGCAACACACACTAACACACCACCACCACGTCAGTGTTACTGCAGTGCTGAGAATGATCCACCACCCAAATAGTATCTGCTCTGTGAGGGTCCATGGGGGTCCTGACCAATGAAGAACAGGGTAAAAGGGGGCTAACAAAGTATGCAGAGAAACAGATGGACTACAGTCTGTAACTGTAGAACTACAAAGTGCACCTATATGGTCAGTGGAGCTGATAAAATGGACAATGAGTGTAGAAACAAGGAGGTGGTTTTAATGTTATGGCTGATTGGTGTATATATTTAAATAGAACTGTAATGCTGTAACTGTGTTATGTCTCAAACACAGGACCCGCTCCGGAGGCGGTCACAGAAAAAATCTTCCAAATAAGCAGAACCATCGAAGAATATGCCATCTGCCCTGAACTCAGAGTGGATCTGGCAACCCTTGGCAGGCAAACCTTTGACCTGGAGAACAAATTCAAACCATTTACAGGTGAAGGCCTTTCCAGCACCCTAACAGTAGGGATGTGACAATACAGCGTACTGTACTGTATTGAACTGTATCGCTGTGTATTGTACACACTTTAAAAAGACGGTTCTTCAAGGGTTCCTTAGTAAAGGAAATGGTTCTATTTAGAACCACGAGTTCTTTATGGAACCATTTTCATGCTTAACGGTTCTATGCATGGTGAAATGATTTTTCAGATTGATGGAGAAAGTGTTATATAGAACCTTTTTGAATATGGTTCTGTAAAGCACCAAAAAGGGTTCTGCTATTGTTACGATTTTAAGCTTGTACCCTCTTATGTAGAACCATATACAACATGTTCTCCATCGAACTGAAGAACCATTTCACCATGCAGAAAATCATTCAGCATGGAAATGGTTCTATATGGAACTCTATGGGTTTCCTTCACCCAAGAAACCTTGAAGAACCATCTTTTTTTAAGTGTGTATTGCGTTGTATCGCTGTATTGTAACTAGCCCATCAGATTGGGGCTAGAACGTTAGATTGGGGCAGCTTTTGTTTAAAATTTTGCTCTTTTATCATGTTGAATGCTCTCAGAAACTGAAAATGGAAATATTATATTATATTATATTGATGCAGAGCACATTTTCAACCGCTGTATTGAAATATTTATCAAACTTAATACTGAATTTTGTGACACCCCTATAAAGTTAATGAAGTTTGTTGTAAACAGATACTGAGTGGGCTCAGCCGGTGATACGCTCTCTATTATCATCCATGCAGTTGAGATTGTGGACTCGGTGGAATCCTACGCAAACATGCTGAGGAACATCTTTGACTTTGCAGTGCTGAAGGAGCTGCTGTCGGGCGAGAACCACATACGTATACGCTTAGACGCCATGCATGGAGGTGGGAGCTGTTTTACCTTATGTCTTCTGATCAACAAGCTCTGCCTATTTGATGTTTTTAGGACCATTTACAGATTTACAGGATCTAGTCCCAGGCACAGCTGTGTACTTCTTGAGGACCTGGCTATGTAGGTTTGGGTCAGATAGGGTTTCCGTCCTGCTGTTCACCAAATGATTAAGATGAGATGTCTGACATAACAGTGAAACCAGAGGCGGATTTCCCCTTTCAGAGAGGAAGCCCAGTAACACTGAATGCACTCTCGAAATGAATAGCATTTTAACACGGCAGGACATCCAATATCCTGCCCTTAATCCCACGAGAGGAGTTCAAATAGCTTAGCCTAGGAGTGGTCAGCATTCAAAATAAGACCGATTCTGAACCAGTGACAGATCAAAATACACTATTTAGTACACAAGAAACCTGTCAGTCAAAACTATTCTGCCAAAACTATTTACAAAAATAATAATACATTTTGCATAAAATGAGGTTTTACAACATTTTGATTTTGTATTTTCTGTAGCTTCTTAAACACGATTGATTATTTGTTTGTTGTATACTTGTAAAAAAGAAGGTTCTTCAATGATTCTTTGGTAAAGACTGATTCTAATTACAAACCTGAAAACTCAAATAACTATTTGCATGCTCTTCAGATTGATGGAGAAAAGGGGTTCTGCTATTGTTACGATGTAAAGCTTGTAGCAATCGAAGAACCCTTTTTCAAATATAGCCATATACAACACATTCTCCATCAATCTGAAGTACAATTTCACCATGCAAAGAACCCTTTAAGCACGCAGATGGTTCTATATGGAGTCAGTCTTTACTAAAGAACCTTAAAGAACCACCTTTTTTAAGAGTGTAGGCAAGGTAACATACCTAGCAAGCCAGCCTTTTAGCATCCATGTTGCTGTGGCCTTTCCTGCTCTTTCTTTTCACTGAAAAAGACAAGAACCAACAGGTTATCATTTAAACAAATCTGTGTGCAAGTGTAACTGAAGCTAACAACCAAGCGAAAGCTAACCTATCAGCCATAATTGAGCTGTCAAGCTAGGTCATCTGTCTGCCTGTCAGTTGTCCATCTGTCTGTCTATTCATCTGTCTTTTACTTCAACCAGCCACAAAGTATGCCCTGTGAATAATATTCCAATGGCAAATAAAAGACCTTTATATTTTGCCAAATTTCTCCCCTTTTGGAATAAACTGGGTGGTCCTTGTCTTGGATAATGTTGCATAATTATTACCCTCACCAATCACAAGTCCGCCCACATAGCTTTAATTAAACTATGCAAACCCCACCTTTTCACTCTGTTAGAGTCACCAGCGTAACCAAAAGCTAGCAAGCTACAGTCATATATAAAAATTTGAACACCCCTGTTCAAATATCATTTTTGTTGATTTTTTTGTAAGTGTAATTAAGTAAACACATCCTCTATAAGGAACACATTTCTGTACATTTTAATTATTACTTTAATTTATTTAACCATTAAAAAAAGTATGGCTTGCACAAAAGTGAAGGCACATTTTATTTGTTTCCAAGAAGTTGCACTGAAAGTTCCAGAAAAATGCCATAATTAAACTAAGGTTTTTAGAGAACCTTTAAATTGTGTCCTGCTCCCTCTTGATAAAATAAATAGATCCTTGATGAAATGCAATCAAATCTTTTTTGGCATTTTCAGAACTGGTAAAATGTCATAACTTAAATTTTTGAAATTCCAAAATGTCAGAATTTTGCCAGTGAAGGGTTTCTGCAGTCCACCACACAAACACTTCTGTTTAGCAAACAAAGTAAATTTAAATTTGGTTTGGTAACATTACAAACATCTTCAGGAGTCACGCTGACACACTGTAACCCACTCATCCCTTTATTTCTCCATTTACTCTCGATGTATATTGTATCTGCCATCTTTCTCAACAGTCTAAATTTGTCTCTGTGTCTCTTCCAAAGTGGTTGGTCCATATGTGAAAAAAATCCTGTGCGAGGAGCTGGGCTCCCCTGCCAACTCGGCCATTAACTGCATCCCTCAGGAGGACTTTGGTGGTCAGCATCCAGATCCTAACCTGACCTATGCTGCAGATCTTGTTGAGAGCATGAAGAGTGGCCAGTATGACTTTGGAGCTGCCTTCGATGGGGACGGTGTGGGTGTTTTTGAGACTTACATCATACTACATGACAGCCTTCAATGTCTCTACAGACTTTTCAATATGAAAAATGTCCAGAGTTTCAAGTATGTCATTCCAAAACTCCAGTCTCGGACACTCCAGCCACTTTATTAGAAACACCTACCCTGTAGGTCCAGCTTGCAGTTGTTTTTAGCCAGTTTGTAGAGGTGTAATAATGAATCGTGACATTGTGATACTGCAATGCAAAACTGTGAATATGCATTGTGGAAAATGGACCAATTTACATCAGACACGTTCCTGAAGCATTTTCTTTACTCATCTGTCATAGAACAGATACGCTTACACTGTAATCAGTGTTTCCACACCAGCTGGGCTAGATACGTTTTTACCTCCATTAGAACAAAAGCCCTTATTTTCTGCGCAAAGATTTTTTGTGCCTGTGAGTGAAGCATAGATCGAGCCAAACCACACAGTCCTACTTTCTATAGCATGCTATAGCATCTATAGCATAGCTCCACTTAAATTAATCATTTTAAGTGTAGTTTAGATAAACAGTGATAATAACAGCAGCTCCTGCGCTGTACTAATAGTCTGGGGGACAATGTTTTGATGATGCTTTTATCTGACATGAACAATAGTAAAAACTTGTAATTCTGATTTCAACACAAAAACAGATCTAGTGAACTGTTTCAACACCAAAGTTTGAAAATGTTCAGCATCAGTCAAGAACTCACCCCAGCACTCCTCCTGTTGGTGGACTTTTGGTGGCTGATATTTTGGTGCAACACTAGAGCAGAGAACGATCAAAATAATGTCTGGACAGCAGCCTTGTGGCCAGAAACAATCAGCTGATCTTCTCCAAGGGGGGTCACCTGTACAACTGCAGGAGAACAATGATTCTGATATGAACTTTACCTTCAGTCATTTAAAGATTCAGTGTGTAAGATTTAATGACATCTAGTGGTGAGGTTGCAGATTGCACACAACGGAATCACCCTCCCTCACCCCTCCCTTTCCAAGTGTGTAGTAGAACCTACAGTGGTCCTCAGGTTTCCTGCCATCGCCTGTCCTGATTTTGTTTTGTTCTTCATGTTTTCGCTTCTTGGACGACGAGGATTCACCCTCTCTCGCTTTTTCTGCTAGATAATAAGCATAATCCTCCATTTGTCAAAATTTGGGTTCTCAAACTTCTCACAACACAAAATGGTCAGCCAGCACCGGCAGCCACCACTGATTCTTCTTCTTTCTACGTCTTCCAACTGGAGCTACAGCGCTCGATTCAAGCTGCCGCTTCAATGCAAAAGCGTGAAAGGCACCTTCTAGAGCTAATGTTTGGTTTGTCCGTTCTGGGCGCAACATGGCAGCCTCTGTTTGGAGAGGTACCGCTCCATATGTAGATATGAAGGGCTCATTCTATGCTAATGAAAACGCAATGATTCGTAATTACAAGTGATTATACACTAATGAAATTAATAGACCCCTAAAAGATCCCCCTAAATCTTACACACTGCACCTTTAAGCACATCATTACAAAAAGGTGAGATTACATTTTCAAAATCAAAATGCAGAAAATAAAAAAATAATTTGTGGGCTGTATTTAAGGATATGTTTTAAATATCTAATGGGCCTTATGAAGATGTCTCATGGGCCAAATGTTGGCTGCTGGTAGCTTGAGACCCCTGGGCTGGAGGGAGGCTGTCAAACTGACAGATGGGTCACAGTTTGTACTTGTAATGATGTGATGGGCACTTTTAAGTTCAAAGGTACTGCAAGCTCTTTAAGTTTCAGTGACCTAGTCAAATCCTCTTGACCCTGCCTGACCCTGTGTCTATCTCTCTCTCTAGGATCGTAATATGATCTTGGGAAAGCACGGCTTCTTCGTTAGCCCCTCAGATTCGGTTGCTGTCATTGCAGCAAACATCTTCTGCATCCCCTACTTCCAGCACATGGGAGTGAGAGGCTTTGCCAGGAGTATGCCCACCAGTGGAGCACTGGACAAGTAAATACAACATGACTAAAGATTTAATTACATAATTAGTCACATTGTGAATTACGTTGTGTAATGTGGTACAGATTGGAAGTGTAGAAATCCGGACTTTTAATAAAAGTTTTCCACTCGTTTCAAAAGAGAAATAATTCATATAAAATTAAACGTTTTGATACTGTTGGCAGGACTGACTCCTAAGGTATATGCTGATGAGCTCAGGTAACACAGTGTTTGTCATTTCTTAGTGTGGCTAAAGCAACGAAGATCCAACTGTACGAGACACCAACTGGGTGGAAGTTCTTCGGGAACCTGATGGACGCTGGTCACCTTTCGCTGTGTGGAGAGGAGAGCTTTGGCACAGGTAGCTAACGTGTGAGTCAAGGTAACAGGCTTTTAAATATATTCCTAGACCATTTATTGTATTTTTCTGAATTTCTTCAATTATAATTCTGCTTCCTGGTGCCCAGAAAAGGGATGGGTTCTCCTTTGAGTCTTGGTTCTTCCTCATGCTTTTACAGAGTTTCTCCTTCTGAGTCTTGGTTCCTCTCAGTGGTTCTTCCTCATGATCTTACAGAGTTTCTCTTTTTAAGGCTTGGTTCCTCACATAGGCTCTTCTTCATGCTCTTACAGAGTTTCTCCTGTTGAGTCTTGGTTCCTCCCAATGGTTCTTCCTCATGCTCTTACAGAGTTTCTCCTTTTGAGTCTTGGTTCCTCGCAGTGGTTCTTCTTGATGCTCTTACAGAGTTTCTCCTTTTGAGTCTTGGTTCCTCGCAGTGGTTCTTCTTGATGCTCTTACAGAGTTTCTTCTTTTAAGTCTTGGTTCCTCTCAGTGGTTCTTCCTCATGCTCTTATAGAATTTCTCCTTTTAAGGCTTGGTTCCTCTCGGTGGTTCTTCCTGATGCTCTTACAGAGTTTCTCCTTTTGAGTGTTGGTTCCCCTCAGTGGTTCTTCCTCATGCTCTTATAGTGTTTCTCCTCTTGAGTCTTGGTTCCCCTCAGTGGTTCTTCCTCATGCTCTTATAGAGTTTATCCTTTTGAGTCTTGGTTCTTCTCAGTGGTTCCTCTTCATGCTCTCACAGAGTTTCCCCTTTTGAATCTTGTTTTTTCTCAGTGGTTCTTCTTCATGCTCTTACAGAGTTTCTCCTTCTGAGTTTTGGTTCCTCTTAGCTTTTCTTTCTCATGCTTTTAGAGAGTTTTTGTTTTGAGTCATGGTTCCTTTCACTGTTTCTTCTTCTTGATATCAGGGAGCTTATCCTATTGAGTCTTTCTTCTTCTCAATGTTTCTCCCTAGTTTTCCTTTTAAGTCTTTGTTTCTTTCAGTGGTTCTTTATCATGCCCTTAGAGAGTTTCTCCTATTGAGTCTTGGATCCTCTAAGTGGTTCCTCTAAGTACTCTTCTCAAGCTTTTCTTGCCACTGCTCTCTTGGTGATGCTCATTAGAGGACTAGACCCAATTTTGTGGAAAGCTGCTTCGGCAAAATATCTACTATAAAACTGATTTGACCTGATTTGAGCCTGTTCTGTTCCTCTCCAGGTTCCGACCATATCCGTGAAAAGGATGGTCTTTGGGCTGTGCTTGCATGGCTCTCCATTCTTGCTACCAGAAAGCAAAGTGTTGAGGAGGTCATAATAGAGCACTGGAAAACCTACGGCCGGAACTACTACACCAGGTAGACATTCAACTTGTTGAATGATCAAAAGTGGCCTATTTTGTTCTTTCTTTGTGGAACGGTGAAACATCTCAATGCACATTAATATAATGCCACACAATGTTTTCTGCAGCCTATCACTCCATTTTGATGACCATCTGAATGATCCCTTCTAATTTGTTGCAGGTACGATTATGAGGAGGTCGACATAGACGCAGCAGTGGAGATGATGCTGGAGCTCGAGGTGATCATTTTAGACAAGGCATTCAGTGGCCAGAAGTTCACTGTAGGGGAGCAAACCTACGAGGTGGACAGAGCAGACAACTTTGAATACAGTGACCCAGTGGATGGAAGCATCTCAAGAAACCAGGTCATCTAATTAATATCTGTGTATTTCATAACCACCAACCACTGTGAACTCACCGTCCACTGGATGTATGATGTACAACAGTGGTCACCAACCCTGGCCCTGGAGATGATTGGCTGGATCAGATTAGTGTTAGATAAAGGGGGGCAGCACATTAGATGCAGGAAAGTCAATGGTTGTTGACCACTGATGTACTCTATGTGGGTGGTGATCCATTCCCAACAGAGCAGTGATAGTGACATGAGCCCAGCCCCACCTACAAGTTCAAACACACACACACACATCTTCTAAGCCGCTTATCCTTCTGTCATCAGGCAGAAGGCAGGATACACGCTGGACAGGTCGCCAGTCCATCACAGGGCAGACAGACAGACATACACATTCACTCAAACACTCACACCTAGGGGCAATTCAGCATATCCAACTGGCCTGACTGCATGTCTTTGGACTGTGGGAGGAAACCCATGCAGACATAGGGAGAACACGCAAACTCTACACAGAAAGGATCCTGGTTGCCCGGCCGGGGAATCGAACCCAGCCCCTTCGTGCTGTGAGGTGACAGCACTACCCACCGTGCCGCCCGAGTTCAAACTCCATATCCAAAAATATAAAAAATGTCCAATCAAGAGCGGACATGTGTTCAGAAACTGACCATTGGTGAAAGGCTAGAGCAGGGGAGCCCAGTCCTGGTCCTGGAGGTCCTGGAGAGGCCCCACCCTGCAGAGTTTAGCTCCAACCCTAACCTAACACCTGATCCATGTAATGAAGGACGTCAGGGCATCTGAATAATAGAGCCAGATGGATCTGAATTCTCCAGGATGGTAGATCTCCAGGACCAGGATTGCTCACCTCTGCGGTACAGGTTGGCTTTGGGCTACAGTCTCTAACACAGTGGTACTCCAACTGGTCCTCAGGGACCCTCTGATGATCCAGATTTTGCTCCAATCCATCTTGCAACACACAGGGATTAACACATGGGGGTTCTTGAGGACCGGTTTGAGAACCAGTGCTCTGACAGATTTAACTACAAGGTGGGTATTTCCACTAAAGTGACCTTTGTGCACACACTAAGACAAAATCTTACCCTCTACAGGGCCTGCGGATCATTTTCAAAGATGGTTCACGCATCATCTTCCGTCTGAGTGGAACAGGCAGCTCCGGGGCAACAATACGCCTCTATATCGACAGCTACGAGAAAGACGTAAACAAGATTTTCCAAGACCCACAGGTAGTTGACTGAAGCATTTTTTAACTAATTTAATTTTACATATACCTATAAATCTTATAAAACTGTATTCTATGTTATCTTGCTCAAACTGAGTGGATAAAATAGTTGGAGGGAGCAAGTAAACATAACGGTGTCAACTTCTAGGGTTAACTGTACACGTGTCATGCAAACATTTGGGCGACTCTGGTCAAATAAGGAAGTTAACACATCCTCTACAGCAGTGGTCACCAGCCCTGGTCCTGGAGATCTACCTTCCAGAGCAGTCCGGTTCTAACCACCATCTGCCACACCCGCTCCAGATGATTAACTTCTTCAGAAGTTCTTGACTGGCTGGATCAGACGCAGTAGTGTTAGGTAACTGAGGGTGTCAGTATGTTAGCTGCAGGCTGAAACTAATGGCAGGAAAGCTGATCTCAAGGAAGAGAACAGTGGCCGGTGGCACCAGCTCTGCGTAAACTAAAACGTAGACTAGTTGTAACGTAAGTGTTTACTAAGTTTAGGTTTATGCATTATTAAATCAAAACAGGCTGCACCACACAAACAAGACTTAACGTTGAGCTTAGAAGTTACTAAATATTTACAGCCCCCAAAGCAGGTGAAAGTTTTGGGGAAACCATCAGAAACAACATAGAAAGCACAAAGAAGATCAAAAACATTACTTTTTTGGTTAACTAAGCTGAAAATTGTAAGAGCTATACACTGATTTTATTCACAGCTCTAATCATCAGGCTGGTTTTAACTCTGAGCGTAAAACTAAACACCCACAGCTCCAGCTCTGTGAGACTCAGGCTGCATTTACACTGCTCCGGCGCGTCGACGCACCACAACGTATCCCATTCATTTTCAATGGAAAGCGTTGGTTCCACCAGATGTGGCCGCGCAGTGCATCTAATCTGAACTTTATGCAGATTAATCCGGCCAACGCGATGCGCCCATCCAATCAGAAGATAGCTGGTGTTTGCCAAGTGTTCACAATGCAATGCACGACACATTCGTTCCGTATTCAAACGTTTTCCATGAAGGAAAGGCTCCAAACAATTTTAAACCTAGATATTTTTACATATATATATATATATATATATATATATATAATAATAAAGAATAGACAGACAGCAGCTGTAGATCATCAGTTTTACACGCTGCTCTCTTCTATGCTGGATATATTTTCCATGGAGAAGTCAGAGCAGCTGCCGTCGCGTTTCCATGGCAGTGAGTTTACTGATTGGTTCTGAACATGTTATCGTCATGTTAAGGTGACGTACGCATGAGTTAAGACGACCTACAGATTTGTGGTGCAACCAAATTTAGTAAAAGGATAGTTTGAAACTAACCAGTGTAACTACTTACACAAACCTGGTGCAACCCAGTCCTGGTGACCACTGCTTTACACTTCTGCCCATTTGGTGGTTGGAACTGGACCCCTCAGGAAGGTAGATCTCCAGAACCAGGGCTGGTGACCACTGCTGTAGAGGACGTTAATTATTCTCACTTAGAAGTTCAACAAAACTTGTCATTTGGTTCAAACTTTTGTGTACATCTCTGGACTACGACTTACTGCTGAACTGGCGTTTTTTAACTCTGCTCCAGGTGAAGCTGGCCGAGCTGGTTAGCATCGCCCTGAAGCTGTCTCAACTGCATGAGAGGACGGGAAGAAGCAGTCCTACAGTTATTACATGATATCACCTTATATTTTTGTGGCTAACCTTTGTAATAAAACTAGATTTTAGAAGGACTGTGTGGTGTTTTCTTCATTTGCCCTTCGATTCCCAGCGAAGACTCTGTTTTCATCTATGAAAAGTTGGACAGTCTTTGAAACAATGATACTGCCTGTTTAGTCATAATTAGGAAGCTGAGTCCCAACTTTGGAACAGACAATATAATGTTCGATATCACAAAAAGGAGGAAGCTCCAGTAATCTTGTGCAGAGTTTATAAAAACATGACTGACTCCACCAAATGCAGCTATTTGAAATAACAGCCAACAATGGGTCGCATACAAGCAAACAGGGCTTTAAAAGTGACCAAATTAAAGTTAAGATTACCACAGACTAGTGTAGAGCCATCACTAAGAATGTTTTCTCATTTTGAGAGCCACAAATATATAATTATAAACATGGGCAAGCTGCATATATGACTAAATAATAATGTTAAATGCAGATTGCAGATAATGCAGCATTGGTATTCCTATAAATCTCCGAATCAATGTGTATCAATATTTTTGGTAACACTAATTCCGTTCCGTTTGCATAAAATACTGTCTGCCAATTAGACGTTAAAGAGGAAACTTTGTCTGCATAATTCAATTCTTGCCATGCAACAAATTCATTCAGAGTGGTTTGACGTGAAATGCTCCACTCTGGAGTCACAGTGGTGGTGATAGGAACCAGACGTCTGAGATTACTGATATTATTTTATATTAGTTTTGAAAAGAGGTTTGGCCTGAAATTTTAGACCAGCTTGCTTGATATGAGCATTACAAGAGTATCACAATGTCCACTTCTACTGAAATGGATTCCCCTTTAAATAAACACTAATTTGTCCAGCAAGCTAGTAAAATCATAGCATGTATTCACCAAATAGAGCACTAGATAATAAATACTTCTTTATAGCTAACATTATTTCTATGAAGCCTCCAAAGGCATCAACCAGGGGACACTGAAGCCAGCTAACTAGCACGACATGCTAATAACGCTACCTAATGAAATGTAAGTAAGCTAAGCTAACTAGCACAACACGCTAATAACGTTAGGTAAGTAGCTAAGTAAGCTAAGCTAACTGGAACAACATGCTATTAACACTAGCTAATGAAATGTAAGTGAGCTAAGCTAACTGGAACAACATGCTAATAACGCTACCTAATTAAATGTAAGCTAAGCTAACTAGCACAACACGCTAATAACGTTAGGTAAGGAAAAGTAGCTACGTAAGCTAAGCTAACTGGAACAACATGCTATTAACACTAGCTAATGAACTGTAAGTGAGCTAAGCTAACTGGAACAACATGCTAATAACGCTACCTAATTAAATGTAAGCTAAGCTAACTAGCACGACACGCTAATAACGTTAGGTAACGTAAGGTAGCTAACTGAAACAGCTAAGTTAGCTGCGTTCGCTGAGAAATGAACAATGTTGTCTGACAGTGTTTTGACCGTTTTTCTCACCTGCTTGTTGTTTTTGGACGACCTGGTAAAAATGAGCTTCAGAGAATCTGAAATATACGGACCCTCGGGCTGTCTTTGCTCTCCACACAGAACTGGACGCAGTTTGCGTTTCACAAGTTGAAGTAATTTAATTAATTCTTTATGCTTTACTTAATTAAATTCAGCTTTGCCAAAGCATCGCAGACACAAATATTACGACGCTGTAGAGGAGCAGTTCACCAACTTTTGAGCTGGCTGAAATTTGAATTCTTTGCCTTAAAGGCAAACTCCACTGCTTTTTCAAAATTTGTGCATAATTTAAGGGTTAAAATATAAACAGAGTCATTCAGAGTGGTTTGGTGTGAAACGCTCCATTCTAGAGAAACTTGCTGAGTCAGAATTGTTCACAGTGGTGGTGATAGGAACCAGACGTCCACCTCTAAAAGCTCCCTCACAGGAGTTCAGTACATGGAATGGTTACAAATACACTGCGTGATGTCTGAGACACTGTTTTAGTTTTGTGATAAAGTTTTAGGCTAAAACTTGTTTTAATTAATTTATTTTAATCTATTTATTGTGAAGGGAGTTCTATGGCAAAATAGTCCCCAAACAAAAAGCATTATTTTCAGATTTATGACTATTTTACCATCATCAACATTCCATATAAACTCAGAAGTCTCGTGTAGGTTCACTGGTGGTTCTTGATAGTAAATAAAATGTCTATATTTGTGTTGTAGTCATGGTGACCCCTGGTTCCTATCACCACCACTGTAAAGAAATCTGAGTCTCTATAATAAACCATTTCACACCAAACCCACTCTGAATGACTGTTTGCATTACGACCACTGTATACACAAGCATACACAAATTTTGAAAAAAAATTCTCTTTTTTATGTATATATATATATATATATATATATATATATATATATATATATAAGTAATTTAACATTTTAACACGAATTAACACAAATAAAACAATTAAAATGAAACAGTTTTGTGGCCGTGTTTTGTTTCCAAATGCCTTTTCAACAAATAAAGACATGCTGCAGTGTCCAGTAAGTGTGGCTTCCCTTCACACTAGACTGACTCGCTCCCTCCTCCCTATGTAGGCTGCGTGTACGCCGTTTGGAGCGGAGCCTCCGTCTACTGTCGCCTAGCAACGACAAACCGCCATTGGCGCTTCACGGAGGTTCAACGTAAAACCTTTAGCTACAAACATAAATCACAGCTGTAAGTGACGCCATTGGCCTCGGTTTTCTACATATTTACTATGAAACGAGGGTAACCTAACAGTACTGGGCGAAAGTCCTGAGAAAATGAATGTAAATGTGGGCAGTAAGCATTTATTTGTTCGTAAAAACACGCTAACAGTTAGCATCCAGTGGCTAAAGTTCGTTTATCTAACTAATCCATCAGGAACAAAACCTTAAAGGGGAACTCCACCGACTTTTCAAAAAGCCTACGTAATTAAACGGTTAAGATGTAAACAAAGTGATTCAGAGTGGTTTGGTGTGAAATGCTCCGTTCTAGAGAAACTTACCGAGTCATAACAGAAGATTATTACATGAAATGGTTTTGAATACTCAGCTTATTATCTGAGACATTGTTTCATGATAGTTTTGTGAGAGTTTTGGCTTAAAATGTAACTATTTTAATCCATTCATGGTGGAGGGATACAAGCAGGACGTTGTGAGGCAAAATAGTTCCCAAAGAAAACTTATTATTTTCAGATTTATGACTATTTTACCATCGTCAACATTCCATATTTTGGATAGTAAATAAAATGTCTATATTTGTGTTGTAGTCATGGTGACCCCTGGTTCCCATCACCACCACTGTAAAGACATCTGAGTCTCAATCAACCATTTCACACCAAACCCACTCTGAATGACACTTTATATTTAAACCACTGAATTATGCAGAAATTTGAAAAATTGATGTAATTCCCCTTTAACTGGATTCTTCTAAACATAAATCTTGTTACGTTTTACTGCATTTTTGTTTGTTTGAATTTATTCTGTTCATATGTGGTGATTTTTGCTTATAAAAACTATTTGAGTTACTTTATGTGTCTCTGTTTTACAAATCTCTGAAAGCTACAGCGCTCTCTGCTGGAACAACCAGCATAGAGCAGCACAGCTAGCTGGTCACCAGTAAAACCAGCATAGGTTGTGTTTTGGATGCTGATATTCTGGTCAACCAGCATGACCATGCTGGGTGACCAGCTAAGCCAGCACCAGACCAGCATGGAGTTCATGCTGCTGTGTTTTTCAGCTGGGCTAGAACTGGAATTGGGATCATTCAACTAATTTCTTACAAACTATAGCACTTCCAAAATCCAGCCAGGAGATTTCACAATTTTGTTTATTTACAAATACAATGCTGTGAAAAAGTATTTGCCCCTCACCTGATTTCTTCTATTTTTGCTAATTTGCTTTGCTTGGAGTCCCAGGGCCTTAGCACTGGCATCATGTGCTGCTTTTTAAGACCTTCTAGCTTGATTGCCAGATAGGTTAAGTGATGTTCAGATTCAGCAGGTCTGGCAGTAGTCATGTCTGGGTGTGGCTGGTGGAACTGAACCCAATAGTCAATTGGATTTGGTTAACGGGTTAATTTAATAGCTAAGGGGGCAATTACTTTTCCACACAGGGCCAGGTAGACTTTTTTTTCTTCAATAAATGAAATCATCATTTAAAAACAGCGTTTTGTGTTTGCCTAGGTTACCACTGTTGAATATTAAAAGTAGTTTGATGATCTGAAACATTGAAGTGCGAGAAAAATGCAAAAATAGAAGAAATTGGGAAGGGGGCAAATACTTTTTCACAGCACTGTCAAGTGGGGTCCAAAAGTTTTTTGTTTCCATGTTTTAATGAAAGAAGTCTCAGTTTTTCAATGTGGTCTCAGACTTCTGGACCCTGCACCTTTAAAATGATGGTTCTTCAAGGGTTCTTTAGCAAAAAAAATGGTTCTATATAGAAATAAAAACACTCAAAGAACCGTTTACATGATTAAATGGTTCTTTGCATGGTGAAATGGTTCTTCAGACTGATGGAGAATGTGTTTTATAAGGTTTAAATGGAACCTTTTTGAAAAGGGTTCTGTATAGCACCATAATGGGTTCTTCTAATGTTATAATGCCAAGCCTGTAACAATGGAAGAACCCTTTTTGGTGCTACATGGAATTCTGTTCAAAAAGGTTCTATATAGAACCACCTACAGCACATTCTCTATCAATCTGAAGACCCGTTTAACTATGTAAAGAACCCTTTAATCCTGCAAAGGGTGCTTTGAGTGTTCATGGTTCTATATAGAACCTTTTTCTTTACTAAAGAACCCTTGAAGAATCTTTTTTAAGAGTGTACTGTATATAATACTAATTGTATTTGAAATGTTTATGTTTGGATTTATGTAATTATTCACTTGTGAGTGAATATATCTATGCTAATTAGGTTTCGCCTCCAGTTGACGTGACAGCTGCTTCTCCTGCTTTAAGCCTTGTTGTTTTACAGGACCCTAGAGAACCTCATAGTTCCAGTATGGAGGCTCCTGACGCTCTTATGACTGACTCAGACGCCTTCAGTCAGTCCGTC